CCTAGAGGCCGCGCGGCGCGCTGGGGCGGGACGGACGGACACCCGGACGGCGACTGCAGGCGACTCCGGGTGCGATCGCCCAGGCTGCAGCTCACACCCCAGCCCGCTGCCGCTGCCGCTACCGCCGCCACCGCCGAGGAGAGCGCGGTGAGTCTGTCAGCCAGCCCCGGACGGACGGACGGACGCAGGGGCCGACCCCGCGGGCACCCGACAGGCTCCTCCGAGGTCGCCCTGCACAGCTGGCGGAGGGAATGAATGACGGCGCCCGTGCCCTGGGGCGCGGGGCGCAGGGGTGGGGTGGTGTGAGGGGGGCGGTCAGCAATGGTTGGGGTCGCCAGGAATTCCGGGGCCAGGGTCACCAGAGGGGCGCTGCAGCCGGGACTGGGAGGACTGGGAGGACGACGGGTCAAAGAATCAGCAAGCGGGCAGGAATGCCCCCCCCCATCCAAATGACAGTGGCTTTCGTGGTCATCCCAAGTGTGGGGTACTGTGTAAATGTTGGGGAAAGCCTATCTATAGTGTTGGTCGGCTTCTATCTTAAAAAGCGAGATTTGTGGTGGCGCGCGTCTTTAATCCCAGCACTTGGGAGGCAGAGGCAGGTGGGGATCTGTGAGTTCGAGGCCAGCCTGGTCTACAGAGTGAGTTCCAGGACAGCCAGGACTACACAGAGAAATCCTGTCTTGAAAAACCACAAAACAAAACGAGAGGGAGGGAGGAACGAAAAAGAGAGAGACAGAGACAGAGACACAGAGAGAGACAGAGACAGAGAGAAACAGAGAGAGACAGAGACAGAGAGAGACACAGAGAGAGAAGGAAAGACAGAGAGAAACAGAGAGAGACAGAGACAGAGAGAAACAGAGAGAGACAGAGACAGAGAGACACACAGAGAGAGAGAGGGAAAGACAGAGAGAGAGAGAAACAGAAAGACACACAGAAAGAAACAGAGAGACAGGGAAAGACAGAGAGACACAGAGAGAGAGATTGATTGAGAGATTTGCTGGTAAAGGTGAGTCCTCAGTGTTTCCTATGAGATATGATCTAATCTTATAGGCATGATGGGAATAATGATATAATAGCAGTAGATTGACATCCTATAATTTAAAAGCCGGACTTGGTGTCTTTTCTGGGCTGGGCTCTGGATTTATTTAGGTTATTTTTTGTGCTAACACAAATCACTTCCTTTTCTGTCCACCACAAATTTCTGTTGTGTCTATAAGAAGACTGGTACAACTTATTGTTTATTTGTGATCATTTTTCTTACAGCTGATTTGGCACAAAGGTTTTCTTGGAGAAAAAGTGCGTGATTGAAGGATGGCAGAAGCAGTCTTGATTGATCTTTTTGGTTTAAAACTGAACTCACAGAAAAACTGCCATCAGACATTACTGAAGACATTGAATGGTATTCACCACCACCATGCCCCCAAGGCCAAGTTCCTTTGCATAATGCGTTGCAGTAATGTCACCAAAGAAGGGGATGGTGAACAAGATCTTGGTGACTGGGAAGCAGGAAATGGATTTTCACTTCTCATGAGAGAATTTGAGACTGTTAGTAACCCCAGTGTGGCTGCCTGTTTGTATACAATTAAACAAAAAATTGACGAAAAAAATCTGAGCCACATCAAGGTGATTGTACCCGAGCACAGGAAAATGTTAATGAAGGCTTTTATCGATCACCTCTTCACTAAGGTTTATGATTTTGAGTTTGAAGATTTACAGGTAGCTTGGAGAGAGAACCTGTCGAAACCATCCCCTGAAGTTAACGCACCCACAACTCATCAACTGGAAGAAATCCAGGGTGAAATAGAAACATACTTGAGAAGCCTGCCAGCTCTGAAAGGGGACTTAACTATTATCACATCTCCTCTGATTCCAGGTATCCTCCTCACTCTCAGTCCTTTGCACTGCAGTGAAAACCCAGACTTTCTTCAGAAGTTGCTCACTTCCTTTTTTTCTTTTTTTCTGCTGACTCTTGTGAACTGCTCAGCTTTTGCAACATGGGGATTTTATGACTTTGTGGGTCAGGTGCATCAAGGGATGACTTCATCGGAGCCATCCCAAACAAACAAGTTGGCTCCGTGCAGATTCAGACTGTCTTTTGTATACTTTTTTGTCTTTTGCAGAGCATCTCTTTACTCTTTACCGCTTATCTTCAACAGATACCTTCATACATGGATTTACCACAAGGACAGGTGGCATATCTTATATACCCACTCTTAGCTCCCTCAATCTTTTCAGTAGTTCCAAACGCAGAGATCCCAAGGCAGTTGTTCAAGAAAATCTCCGTAGGTTGGCGAAGGCTGCAGGATTTAATGCGGAGAAATTTTACCGCATAAAGGTAAATTTTTGTTACGTATTTTGCTTTTCCAAAATATTGGCGTTTTTCACTCTGTCAATAACTATATAACCTTTAAGCTACTTAATTTTTGTTTCTGGTGCTTCATCTAAAAATTTAGGATAATACTGTAATTAGTTTTCTCTACTTTGTACATTATAGCCTAAAGATCAAATATTAATATGTGTGTGCTCACAGGCATATGTGGATGTATATATGTATCTCATCTAGAACTCAATTCTAGAAGTATAGTTACTTTTGAGTGAGTATACAACCACTACCGACCTATCAGTATAGAAGAAAGTTCCCTGAATGATCAGAAAAAAATGTTTGGGCTATTAGTTTTTAAGTGAAGACCCAGGAGAACTAAGGTCCTAAGTGAAGGGAAAAAATCTGATAAAGAATTCTAGATTTACTTGAGTCTAAGAAAAGGGAAGAAAAAAAATATCACTGGTACTTTCACTTTACTGCAAAGAAAGTGAAACTTGCCTTTTGTGAGAGAAGTACTCAATATAGAGATTTGCTCATCTCTAATGGGGGATGTTCATGACTTTTGAGTCTGCTTTCCTGTGAGCAGCATCTGCAGAGATGTTACAGTTTGTATTTTATTATTCATAAAGGTGGATAATCGTAGCATGATTATCTAATTTTCTGCCCAAATGAGTACTTTTAGAAAAGCCCAAGTATAAGAGGTTTTGTTTTTAAAACATTTTGTTCTGTGTTTTGTGTTAGACCGACCACGCCAATGGAGTGTGGGTGATGGGGAGGAAGGAGCCTGAGTCTTACGATGGAATAATCACCAACCAGAGGGGAGTCACAATCACAGCCCTCGGCGCTGACTGCATACCGATCATCTTTGCAGATCCTGCCAAGAAAGCATGTGGGGTTGCTCACTCTGGTAGGTGCATTTAACAAACCATTTCAGATTTTGTTAGTTTGCAGTACGAGGTATTTCGTAATTATTTTTTGATGGGCATGGAAAGCTGTTCATTGTATTGCTTTGTGATAGGATGAGGCCTGTGTACTCTTACTATAGAAACAGATATAAAGAGTAGACAAGTCAAATTAGATGAATCAGAGTAGTATTCCCTAAGTAGGTGGTATTTAGGGATATTCAGGGATCTGTAGGTTTTAAGTCTGTCAGTATTTCTAAGCAAGGATATGCTATTAACATATGGCGCAAGATAATCCTGCCATACAGATTGAATTATCTTTAGACCTTGACGTTTTTAATGTGCATAATAATCATAGTCTTTGCAATAACCAAAGGACAGCCCTTTATGCTTTTCTAAACACTCTAGGGTGTGGCTGCCTCTGGCTGAGAATCCTTGAAGTCTAGGTGGCAGGGTGGGAATGTTAGGCATGCTATAGAAAAGAGTCCTCAGAGAAAAGAACATGAAGAAAGGCAGTGAGACTGAAAACAAGACAAAACAAGAAACAAGACATGCTTTGTCTATGACCATGAATGGAAAGCCACATTTAGTTCAACTAACTAACTGTATTAAACCATGACTATTACCTAAAGATGATTAAAAATCGTTTTCAAAGGCTAGATTGTGTCAAACTTATAGAATTTCTTTCCTGAAGGAATTCTGAAATAATATTTAGATTATTCCATGTGTATTATCCTATATAAAATGAGACACGATCTTTTGAATTTCATCTTACTTATAAGTTTATGACACTTTTGCTTTTTAGAATACACAGAATCCAGTGGCACGGATTTCTTTTGACCTAGCTAAAGTAACAGAATCGGATGAGAGGTCAGGTTCACTATATGACATTGTCAAAAGTAGTTTAAAATTTGAATCTGAACTCAAAAGAAGTATTATATGTTAGGTTTTGAAACATTTATTCTGAAAATATCCAAGATGTAGTCAAAATGAAGCTGTAACTGTGAACTTCAAATCATTGCTGAATTAGCAATGAAATACAATACAGTTGAATACATTATATGCTTACCAGGTATCAGTTAGTCTAAACTTCATCTATGGGACTAAGTTAATAAAAATTAAATTTTATTTAATTAAAATAAATGATTTATTAATTTAATTATTTATTGAATTTAAAGAAATTAAAATTACTGTAAACTAGCTGTGTATATATGAATGTTTGTGCTGGTGAGAAGATAAAGGAAGGATTCGGAGGAAGGAAGGTATCCTTGTATTTGTAGAAAAGTCTTACCAGTCATCAAAATATCTGTACTGAGTTGTTTTCTTCTGAAAATTACTGCCTACATTTCTAAAGGTGTCTCAGAATCATGATGTGAAAAATTTATCATGCTTTTCCTAAAGCCTTTTCTACCACAAAGCTTCCCTGTTTTTGTTATGGAGATCTTATCTACCAACTTAACAACTTACTATTTTATTCTGGTCCTCTTTCTGCACTTATATATTCAATGAGTTTTCAATGGACATTGAAACTCTTATTTAAATATTTATTACTTCCACCATCTCTTCCTTTTATCTAAAAAGTAAATAAATAAATAAAAAGTAAATAAATGAATGAATGAATGAATAAATAAATAAATAGATCTCTCCCCAGTGTTTAGTTTTAGAAGGATGGGTATATGGAGTGGTGAGAAAAGGAGCGAGTGAGGAGACTCCTTATTGTTCAACTAAGTCAGCTGAATTTGTGTCAGAATGAAGGAATGGAGGGAAAATGTAATGCTCTTAGGTTTTACCTTAGGAAACTGAAGGGAAGCAGGAGTGAAGAGAGGAACTTAATCTTAGAACTCACCAGGAAATCCAAAGACAATAAAGAGAGAGTAGAAAACTGTGCAAAGAGATGGTTAGTTGGAAAGAGGAGTTTTAGTGTGAAAAGTGGAGAGAGGAAAGACTCTAAGGCAATATTAAGAGAAGTTAAAGAAGCGTGAGATAATTAGAAGTCCCATGTTTGTAAGGTGGAAACAATATTATTAAGATGCAACTATCACCCAAAGTCATCTACTGATTTGGTACAATCCTAGCAAATCTCTAATTGCATTTTTACAGGAAAAAAAATCCATCCTCAATTACATATGTAACCTCCAGGGGCTCTGGATAGTTACAACAATCTTGTAAAAGAAGATTCAGAGTTGGACATTTCACAATTTCTAACTCTAGAACTCATTTCAAAGCTGTGATATTGAAAACAATGTAACACTAGTATTAAAAATAACAGACATGATAATTAATAGGAGTTTCTTTTGAAAAATGGTATTGATGCTTAGTCTCCATAGGAATAATGTCCTTTCAACCTTTTCTCCCTCTCTTTCCTACTAACTAGAGTAATGAACACATAAAATGTAACATTAAGCCAGTTAAAGTGTCCAGCTCACTATTAACATTGGCAGTGTTCAATTTCTAGAATTCTTTCATCTTGCAAATTTGAAACTATATATAAACCAACAAGATAGACTAGAGAGCCCACCAGTTACAAATAAGCCCTGAACTATGGTTGAGAGCTTTTCCACGGAGATGCCAAACTGGTTATCCGATGAGGAAAGAATGATGCTTGAACCAGTGGAACTGGGGAAGCAGACACCCACGAGCAAAAGAATGATTCTGACCTTATCATAACAATATTAAAAAAATTAGGTCAGAATGGATCAATGTCCTAAACTGTAAGAAAATTATAAAACTCTTAGGAATGAAAAAAAGAAACCCAGCAGTGTAAGTATTCATACCTTTGGATTAGGCAAAAATCGTTTTTAGGTATTCAAGCAGGAAAAAAAAAAAACAAATTTAAAGACAGGTAAATTGAACTTTATTAAAATTTAAAATGCTTGTGCATCAAAGGATAATTAATGGATTAGAAAGGAAACCCACACAATGGCACAAAGTATTTGCAAACCATTACATCTAATAAGGGGTTAATTGTTAAAACAATACCCGCAATTCTACAATAAAACAACGTCTGGGTTTAAGAATAGGTAAAGGGATTGGGGATGTAATTGCATTGGTAGAGTGCTTGCTTGGCATGGATGACCCTGTCTGTTCAATAGCATCATATATACCAGGTATGGTGGCATACACCTATAATCCCGGCACTCAGAAGGTAGAGGTAGGAAGATCAGAAATTAAGGAATGGGTTTTTTTTTCCCTAAAAATGATTGGTAAACAGCTAAGAAGTGTAAGAAAAGCTAATCAACATCATTTATAATTAATTTGGATATGATGGCACTTTAATCCAAGCGCTCGGGAGGCAGAGGCAGGCAGACCTCTGAGTTTGAGGCCAGCCTGATCTACATAGGGGATTCCAGCTACACAGTGAGACCCTACCTCAAGTTTTAAAATAATGGTATGGTGATTCTTTAAAAAGTTTAAAATAGAATTGCCATATGACCTAGAATTTTAACTCTGGATCGATGTCCAAAAGAACTCGCTTCTCCATTGATAGCATCCTGACCCATAAGATTCATGAGGTAGAAGCAACCTAAGTGTACCGTGACAAATGAGTAATGAATGAACCTTCTAGACCTTGATCCAATAAGCCAATCACAGAAAGACAAGTTCAGTATGAAGCACCTCACATGGAGTATGTAGAGTATTTAAAATTCATAAACAAAAATGTGTAGGCATAGAGAAATGAGAAATTATTTATGAATATAGTTTCAAATTTGCAAGATGAAAGAATTCTAGAAATTGAATACTGCAAATGTTAATAGTGAGCTGGACACTTTAATTGGCTTAAATGTTACATTTTATGTGTTTCATTACTCTAGTTAATAGGAAAGAGAGGGAGAAAAGGTTGAAAGGACATTATTCCTATGGAGACTAAGCATCAATACCATTTTTCAAAAGAAACTCCTATTAATTGTTGATTCTGTCGGGTGCTTTGTAAAGTGTGTCTAATGTAATGACGGTACTTGAATGGAGTCAATACCTTTGTGGTTCATCTCTTAGACCTGGGCTTTGAATACACAAACCACCGCTGTTCATTTTTCACTGAGACATAAAAGCAGTTGGAAGTCTACATTTTTAACTTCTCCTGTCTTCTTTTCTTCCCGTTTACCAGGCTGGAAAGGTACCTTGTTGGGTGTAGCCATGGCTACTGTGAATGCTATGGTAGCAGAATATGGCTGTAATTTGGAAGACATTATTGTCATTCTGGGACCTTCAGTAGGACCTTGCTGTTTTACTCTTCCCAGAGAATCAGCGACCTCATTTCACAATCTTCATCCTTCATGTGTGCGACAGTTTGACTCAATGAATCCCTACGTTGACATCCGAAAAGCTACCAGGTGTGTGATTTCAGAGTGGTGCCGAAGTTTGGTTATGGCTTATTGTTTCTGAGATGAAAATTACTTTAGAGAACAGTAAGTAACTCCCCCAAACAATTCAGGTAGCAAATATTTAAGGAGCTAACGTCCACACATGGAAAAACCCATTTTAAACAAGGCATGTATTCTTACTTAATTTGTATCAAAGATAATATCATGACTGTTACAGTTTATTGACTGCAAAGTAAATTGCAAGTTGATCTCTCCAGAAAACTAGTTAAATTGTGTGTAGGATAGCTGATATGTTCTTTACTTTACAACTATTGCTTAGGTCAATTCTCTTAAGAAATAGAAACTATAAGTAAGTTGATGTTTTGAAAGTATTCTTATTGTCTAGTTAACTAGAAAACATTTCTTATAAAAATATTAGGTAATATAAATATGTAACAACTTAAGTATTTGTGGTCCTATGCATTTTGAATATATGAATTGCTTCTTAATCTCTGTTGAAAATTGTCATTTCTACAGAAGAAAACTGATGTCTGATTTGAATTGTGTTTCTGTTCCAGTTAGTAAAACCATACCCAGACCCTGCCTCATTTAACACACAAGTAGAAAGGATTCAATCTATCACAATTGATTCTTAAATGTGACTAGTGAAATGTGTCACTAATTTTATTCATATTTTATATCAGAATATTTATGAACAAAGTTTTCTGTGAAAAGTCTAGTGAATAGGAGAGAGAGAGAGAGAGAGAGAGAGAGAGAGAGAGAGAGAGAGAGAGAGATTAGATGATTAAAAGTATACCCTGTCTGAACCAAATGCTCTTCTTCCCAAACAAGCATATCATTTTCTCACACTATCCCAGAGCCAACACAGGTCTGCAGGGCAGTGTGGATCACTGCACAGGTCATACCTGAGCTTTGGTGATAAATGCTGATAGAATCTACCATTTCCTGACTAGCCCTGTTGCCGAGGAAACAGCAGCTTCCGTCATTCTGAGGGCTTTCCTGGAATGTGCCCACTCAAATAAACACGCCTTTTTCATGTTGCTGTCACTATCAGGAACATAAACTCTTGCTGTCTTTTGAAAAATCTCTATTCTAAGGATTCTTCTAGAACGAGGAGGAATTCTTCCACAGAATATTCAAGACCAGAAGGGAGATCTTGACCTCTGCACATCCTGCCATCCTGATAAGTTTTTCTCCCATGTTCGGGATGGCCTTAACTTCGGGACGCAGACTGGCTTCATATCCATCAGAGAATGAGGTACACAGCCTCCTCTGCGGTGTCTCTCTTCAGTCTCTTTCCATATGCCCGCCCCCCCATCTCCTCTTCCCCTCCAGCCTGTCCCTGCCTTCATTGAGAAAATAATTAAATTTAACAATATTCCTTCTTCCCTGTAAGAATAATCAAGTTTTGATTTATAAGTGGCAAAATGGTATAGAAAAGATTCATCAATGTACTCTATGATGAAGAATATTCATTTCTTTCCCTGGTTAATGAAGAATAATTAGGTAGGCTTATGTTAAAAGTTTTAAAGTAATTTAGTCTTTTTAAAAAATCCTTTATAAGTCTTTATCTCTGATGTGAACTTGATCTATACATTTTCTATTATAACATCTTTATACCTTTCATTATTTTTGTTTTATGAAAAAATGGATTAATATTGTAAAAATGACCATACTACCAAAAGCAATCTACAGATTGAATGTGATCCCCACCAAAATTCCAACACAATTCTTCATAGATTTTGAGAAGACAATTTTTACTTCATATGGAAATATACAAAAAAAGGGAAAAAAAGCAGTACAGCTAAAAGAATCCTGAATAATAAAATGCTGCTGGAGGTAACACCCTCCTAGATTTCAGGTTGTACTACAAAGCTACAGTAATAAAAACAGCATAGTATTGACATAAAAACAGACAGGTTGATCAGTGGAATAGAACTGAAGACCCAGACATACATCCACATACCCATGGACATCTGATGTTTTTATAATAAGGCCAGAAATACACAGTGGAAAAAAGACAGCATCTTCAACAAATGGTGCTGGTCCAACTGGATGCCTGCATGTAGAAGAATCCAAATAGAGCCATATTTATCATGCTACACAAAAATTAACTACAAATGCATCAAAGACCTCAACATAAAACCAGGTACATGGAACCTAATAGAAGAGAAAGTGGAGAACAGACTTGATTGCATTGGCACAGGAAAACACTTCCTGAACAGAACACAATTAGCACAGGCACTGAGAGCAATGATTATTAATGGGCCCTCATGAAACTGAAAAACTTCTGCATGGCAAAGGAGGCTGTCCTACAGAATGGGAAAAAATTTCACCAACTCCACATCCAATAGAGGGTTAATATCCAAAATATATAAAGAACTCAAGAAATTTGATTTCAAAGCACCAAATAATGCAATAAAAATGGGGGTACAGATCTAAACAGAATTCTCAAAAGATGAAACTCAAATGGCTGAGAGACATTTAAAGAAATGTTAAATCCTTAGTCATCATGGAAATGCAAATCAGAACTACTTTGAGATTCCATATTACACCTGCCAGAATGGCTAAGATCTATAATACAAGTGACAGCTCATGCTGGCAAGGATGTGGGGCAAGGGGAAAATTCCTCCATTGCTGGTGAGAGTGTAAACTTGTACAGCCACTGTGGCAATCAATATGGTGGTTTTTTAGAAAGATGGTAATTGATCTACCTCAAGATCCAGCTATACTACTCTCAGGCATATCCCAAAGGATGCTTCATTCTACCACAAGAACACTTGCTCAACCATGTTCATTGCTGCTCTATTCACAATAGCCAGAAATTGGAAACAACCTGTATGTCCCTCAACAGAAGAATGGACAAAGAAAATTTATACAATGAGGTACTACTCAGCCATTTAAAAAATGACATCCTGAAATTTGCTGGCAAATGGATGGAACTAGAAAAAAAAATAATCCTGAGTGAGATGCCCTAGACTCAGAAAGATAAATATGGTATGTATTTGCTTATATGTGTATATTATCTGTGAAGGCGATGATAAATAACCAAGCTACAATCCGTAGAACTACAGAGAGTTGGTATAGAGTAAGGGACTAGAGGGAACAGATAGATCTTGTTAGGACAGAGAAATAGCATGGATAACTATGGATTGGAGGGGGTGGAATGTGAGGACCAAGGGAAAAAGAGAGGAGAGGAGGGTTGAGGGGGAGGATACAGGAAGAGACAGCTAAATTAGGGGCCATTTGAGGGGTAGGATGGAAACCTAATACAGTAGAAACAATGAAATATGTACAGATATGAAGGCAATCTAAATGAAACCACCAAATAATGGAAGAAACAGAGTCCCAGTTGGCCATCTTTTGTCAAATGAAGCTTCCAGTACTGGGGTTTGGTTACATCTAATTAACTTGCTAGCCCAAGGGGCCCCACAGGAATCTCCAAATAACCCAGATTGTTGCCAAGATTATAGGTTGCTCTCCGCAAACTGACAGCAAGGTCCCATTGTTGAAGACAATACATACACAACTCATTAAACAAGGAGATGTTGAGTCAGCGCCTACCTGCAGCTTTCACTTCTGTGTTCCAGCATCTTTGGTAGAGGAACATACTCTGCATGCTCTCAAAAGGCAACATAAGCACCAAGACAGCCCCGAACACTTCATCTACAATGGTATACTGCCTCCAAGATATGCTAGTGCAATCGGTGGTGGCATGAAGCCGGTGGGAGTAATCAACCAGTAACTGATTTGACCAAAGGAACACTCCACAAAATGGAACCCATACCTGGCACTGCGTGACCAAGAACCTGATACCATAAAACCAAATAATACTGATCTAAAAAAAGAAAAAAATGTAATGATAAAATGACAATTCCTAATGATATTCAGCTATACTCATAGATTAGTGCCTTGTTCAACTATTATCAGAGAAACGTCCTTCTGCAGCAGATGGGATCAATTATAGAAACACATAGCCAGACATTACACAGAATGAGAGATGTTGGAATACACAGCTCTAAATGGGATGTCTCTATCAAAACCCTCCCCAACCTCAAGGAACCCCATGGAAAAGGAGGTGGAAAGAATATAAAAGCCAGAGAAGATGGAAAACTCCAAGAAAACAAGGCCCTCTAAATCAACGTGAGCAAAGCTCATATGAACTTAGAGACTGAAGCAGCATGCAAAAGACCTGCATGGTCTGCACCATGTCCTCTGCACATATATTATGGCTTTTAGTTTAGTGTTTTTATGGGATTCCTGAGCATATAAACAAGTGAGTCGATTACTCTTATGCTCTTTTCCTTCTGTTAGTCTGTTCTTGTTTAACTTTGATGTGATAGTTTTTGTTTCATCTTATTATATTTTGTTGTATTAAAAAGTGAATGAATGAATGAGTGAATGAATGAATGAATGAATGAATGAATGAATGAATGAATGAATGAATGAATGAAAACCTAGCCACTAGGGTAAAGGTTAACAACTGAACTGCCACTTTTACCTGCTGGGAGAGGGAAAATCAGTTTTCCCCAATGGAGTGGCACTGGGTATATCAACCATTCTAGGACAGGCCTCATATTCAGGAGTAGTTGACCAACATATAATTGAAATCTGTAGTTTTGTGTGTGTGTGCTTTTATTTAGTTACAATTTGTTGGGAGTTTTTTGTTTGTTTTTCTTTTTGGATGTGGTTTTTTTCTTGGTTTTGGGGGGTTTGATGTTATATTGAGTTTTTGTTCCTTTTATGAGAAAGAACTTCGATTTGGGTGTGTAGGAAGGGAAAGATTATCTGAAAGGACTTGGAGGAGAGGAAGAATATGATCAAAATATATTGCAAATTGTTTTAAGTAATGAAAAATATAATAAAAATTTGCATAAAGATTTTAACTTATAGAATAAGAAATATACAAATATATCAACTGACTTTCCGACGGCCAAATATGGTAGAGTTGGAATTTTTTTAAAAGGGATAGATAGTAAATCTTTTTGATATTATATTTTGCAGCGTTTATATGTGTGTGTGCGCACGCGCACACATCACGCATGCTAGTGCCCATGCTGTGGCACATGTGTGGAGGCAGAGGACAACTTTCAGGAGTATGTCTCTTCTACTATCTATGGCTTCCAGAGATCCAGCTTAGGTTGTTAAGGTTGATGGCATCATCAATCTGACCCAGTAAATCTTTGATGTTGTGTAGAGCATTCGATATCTCTGTCATCCAGTCAACTCTGCCACTGTAGAGCAAAAGCAGATGCTGTCAACACAGAAGAGAATGAGTTGATGCTCCCATTAATGCCATGTATAACAAGGAGGACCTTCTAGACTTCTATAAAACAATTGCATGACGATGATTTAGGACTGACCCTCTAGCACACACCCAGTTTTCTGTACAGTTTAACTCAATTCGTCTATCCTTTACTCTTCACACCATCTTTAGTTTTTAATGTACTTGATGGTTCCCACCTTGATATTCTAAGAACACTAGTGAGGCACTCATGTTTTATCTCTGTCTATTTTACAGGTTCTTGACTGGAACTTTGCGTCACCGTTTCCCGCATCCTTCCCCACTGCTTGCCAAAGAAACTTTTGTAAACCAAGAGGATCACAAAAGATAATTCATCGTTAGGGTATACTTTCACTGTTACCCACAGCCAGATGATCTTGGTTTAATTCCTATGACAACTGAGGAGAGAATCAATGTGATATTATTCCTCAAGTTAGTTCTTTGTATTTATCTATAAATCAAGACCAGGTCTGTTTAGTTCAGTATTTGTTGGATGCCAACTTTTTTTAGGGATGAGACTTAGCACAGTGAATCAAAATAAAGGCAACTTTTCCATTTGAGTCAAATGCAGTAGGAGAGATAATCACTTCTTTCTGAATATATTTTTTAATTGCCTTACGAAAGAGTAGATTTCATTTATGGCATTTTCAAACATCATGTTCTTGCTGATCCTTCCCTCCCCCTCTCCCCGTGTCCCTTTCCACTCCCAGTATCCCTTCTTTCATGTCAGTGTGTTCTATTACCCACTTCCTTGCTCACCCCTCTTTTCCCCTTATCTTCCCTTTCTAGGTTCAACATCTATAACCAAACTTACACCTACATATATACATATATATGCATATACATGTATGTGTATGTAAGCATAAACATTAAAGGTTTCATATATGAGAGAGAACACATAATGTTTGTTATTCTGAGTCTGGATTATTTTGTTCAGCATAATAATTCCAGATCCATCAATTTTCCTATAAATTTGATAATTTCATTGTGGTTAAATAAAATAGTGTATGTACTGTATTTTTGTTACCCATTCGTTGATGAACATCTAGGCTAATTTCAATTCCTTGCTGTTGTGACTAGAACAGCAATAAATGTGCATCTTTAAGTATCTTTGTGGCAGGATATGGAGTCTTGGGTATATGCGCAGAAGCAGAATAGTTGGGTCATAAGGCTATTCTGGTTTTGTTTGTTTTTAAAAATATATTATTCTGAGAATTTAATTCACATATACTGTGAAATATGATCGTAACCATCCTTCATTTCCCCTCCAGCTCTTCCTCAGATTTTCCCAGCATGTCCCCTTCCCAGCTTCATGTCCTCACTGTTGATTTTTTGACCCCTCCGTGCTAATGTCGATAATGGCTGTTGCAGCTTCCACTCCTACCGGCAGTGAAAACGGGTTCAGCTTTCACCACATCCTCAACGGCATTTGTTGGCATTTTTCTTTTGATATTTTATTTACTTACTTCTAAGTGTATCGGTATTTTCCCTGCATATAGTCTGCACACCACACGCGTGCAGTGACCAGAGAGGCCAGAAGAGAATCTCTGTCCCCTGAGACTCGAGTTACAGAGGAGCTGTCCTGTGGGTGCTGGGACTCAAACTGAGACCGTCTGGAAGAGCAGCCGGTGATCTCAGCCATCTCTCCAGCTTCGTCATTTTTTTTCTCTTGGGAGTAGAGATTCTGACTATTGCTAGGTAGAATCTGAAAGTAGTTTAACTTTGAAGTCTGATGGCTAAAGGTGTTGGATGCATTTTCAATACAGATCTGGACCTTTGTGGTTCTTTCGAGAACCATCTGTTCATTTCATGCGCTCGTTTATCGACAGGCAGATTTATTGTTTAGTTTGAAGGTTTTTGTATGTTCTGGGTACTAAGCCCCTGTTTGAAGTTTAGCTAGCAAAGATTCCGCACTGCTGATAGTTCCTTTTGCTGTGCAAAATCGGTTTTACTTTATGTAATCCATTTGCAAATTTTTGTGCTGTTAGAGTCCTATTTTAAAACTTCTTCTATATGCTGATTTCTCAGAATGTTTCCCTCTAGCAGTATCAGAATTTCCGGTTAGGGCCTTTGGTCCACAGGAAGAGTTTGGTAGTAATCCTGCTCTTTCTGTCTTGTGGGAAGCTTTGCAATGTGGCTGCTAGATCTTCCTAAAGAGACTGGTAGAATTTAGCAGTGAATCCACGTGGTCCTGGTCTTTCCTTTGTGGGAGATTTAATTAGCACTTGGATCTCTTGCTTATTATATGTCTATTTAAATAGTTCATATCTACTGGATTTATTTTTGATACGTTATTATAAACCTTCTTCTTAGGAAGCCCTTGACCATACCCTAGAGGGTCTGATAGATTGTGCTATCATTTTGCGTTTGATCCTAGGAATGTTTTAAAGTTCCTCTATGACTTTTTCCCCCATGATTCACTATTTAGTCTCCAAGCATTTGTGTAGTTTCTGAATTTCTCTTGATGATTTTTAATTTTATTATGCTGTGGTCTTATAAGATACAAGGGTCAACTTCTTTCTTTCTTTCTTATTTTATTTTTTTGTATTTGCTGAGGTTTGCTTTATGGTAAATTTTAGAGAGTGTTCAATCCTTGTTCTGCTAAGTGTGTGTTCACTATCTGTTGGATGGACAACACTTAATTCCAGTTGATCTGTGGTATAATTTAGTTTTGAAGTTTCTTTGCTGGTTTTAGGTTGGAAGACCCCCACCTAAATCAGAGAGTGCCATTTCAACATCTATCATCATTATCGTGTCAGAATCTGTGTGACATTCTATGTCTTTCAGTGTTTGTCTTATCAGACGTGTAGTCCTAATACTCAATGAATAATATTTCCAGCTGTTATATCTCCCTGAGGAGCTGTTCCTTTGTTAATAGGTAGTGGCCCTCTTTATCTCTTCTACGTAGTTTTGGTTTGAAATCTACCTCATCGGGTACAAAAATTGCTACATAGCATGTACACAGTTTCCATTTGCTTGGTACATTGATTTTCACTTTTTGACTATTTTTGGTTTGTTTTGTGGGTTTTTGTCTTTGCTGGCTAAGTGTGTTTCTCAGAGACAGTGGATGTACCTTGCTTTATTAAGTCCATCAGTTATTCTGTGGGGTTTTTTATTGTTTAATTGAGATCATTTGCACTTAAGATTATTTCCTGTGATTTTGTTAGTTGATTTTCTGGTTGGTTAGATTAATAGTATTTCTGGTCTTCCCTCTCTGTTAGCATGAGGGGTTTCTGGTTTGTTGTGCTGTACCTTATTACTTCCTTCCCAACTCTTTTTGATCACTCATGGAATATATTCTTTTCTGTGTTCTGTAGATGAGACTTTGTTTTTCTTACATATATAGTATTCATTTAAGATTTTTCTGTGATACTGCTTGGTTGTTACTAATTGCCTTAATTTTCCATCAGTTTAAAATTTTGTTGACAATCATTTACTTCCAGAGCTTGAAATATATAATTCCATACATTCCTGGCTTCATGTTTCTTATAAATGATATGATGTTATTATGATGCTTCTCCCTTTGTATATGAGCTGGAATTTTTCTCTCATCTTTTAGCCTTTGCTTTGTGGTTATGACATTTGTGGCTATGGTATGTTGTGGAGAATTTCTCTGGTTACAGCTATCTGGGTTTCTAAAGGCCTTTTGTGTTTAGATGTTAATTTCTTTCTCTAATTTTAGAGAAATTTCTTTTATAAGTTAATTGAATAAATTGTCTCTGACTTTTGACTTTATCTCAGCTCCTACTACTTCATTAATTCTTAGATTTCTGTCTTTTGAATGTGCCCCAGACTTTTGGGGATCATTGGTTGTTTGTTTTAATCGTTATATGTGTCTGAATGAAGTATTGTCTCAGCTTAGTCTTCCCCCCTGAAATTCATTTTCCTAATTGCTCCTGTCTGGTAGCGACGCTTTCTGATGTGATTTTGACTTGATTGCTTCTTTCACTCCCAGAAATTTTAGTTGGTTCTTCTCTGATGTTTGTGCATCCTTGCTGAATATTTCCTCCATGTTTTAAAATTTCTTATTGAAATAAACTGTTTCTACAACGAAAATATAATTTTACAAACAGATGAGTACTGAAGGTGGAAGGACTAGTTTTGCTCAGAGGTCAAGAGGGGGGAGATATTACAGAGAAAATGACAATTTGTATGGGCCCAAAACATGTACAAATTTTTAAAGGGAGTTTTAAATATATGTATGTATATATCGCATTGTGTCTGTATGCACAAATCCATGCCGTGCCTGCAGAGGACAGAAGAAGGCGTCAGATCCCCTGGAGCTGGAGTTACAGAGTTACAGGGTAGCTGTGAGGCACCCAATGTGGGTGCTGAGAACTAAGCTCCAGCCTTCTGCAAGAGCAGCAAGCACTCTATCTACCTAGTCATCTCTCTAGCCCCATGTACAGATTTTCGACAAAGTACAGTCACAGAGGGGAGAGAAAACAGGAACCAGGAAATGAAACTGAAAGTGTATAACTTCCCCCAACAGTGTAAGCAGGGCACTAGACGAATAGCACAGAAATAGAATAGGAAGGATCTCATATCATGAAGAAAATTTGCAGTTTACTTTTTTCGCCACAAGTAGGCATCAAAATAGAGGATTTCCTCACGCCACAGCATCCTGTTTAATGAGATGGACTCAGAGTGTGACTGACCAAAGAAGAGAGATTGAATAGAAAATAGAAGCAGTGAGGATATTTTGTTTGTTTGTTTTCCAAGACAGGGTTTCTCTGTGTAGCTGGCTCTCCTGGAACTCGCTCTGTAGACCAGGTTGGCCTCGAACTCACAGAGATCCACCTGCCTCTGCCTTCTGAGTGCTGGGATTAAAGGCGTGGCGCCACCCCACCTAGCTTAGTTAGGATATTTTTTTTTTAAAAATTAACAGTTTCAGAGGAAGCTGTAGAAATTCAAATGGATCTGCGGACAGATAAATTAGAAATTTCAGAGGTGGGTTCAATGGAATGGAGGAATTATTGATGACTCCGAGTTTTGCTTAGCCAGCTACTGGGAGTGGCAACCAAGGGTGGGAGGAGCTTTGGGATTAGAAGAAGGATAACATGTTTCACCTGATCTAGAATGAATAGCATCTAGATGGAAATCTTTGGTCAATGATTGACAATGTAGGCCTGGAACTTATAATGGAGCCGGGGACAAAACAGGTTTGGAAGTTGGCTATGAAGGAATGATAATTTGAGTCTCTTGAATCAGATTGGATTGTCTAGATGAAAACTAGTGAGTATGAGGGTCCAAGGATGGACCCTCCCACAGCAGGTGCATTTGAAGACCAAGAGCTAAACCAGTAAAAATAACTTAATCATAAAAATTAAAAAGGCATGATTGTTTAAGGCAGTCAACACATGTGTGAAAGAGTCTCCGAAATCTTCAGGAATAAAGTGAGCCTGAAAAGGCAGCAGTGGATTAACTGATAAAGTTGTGCTGCTGGCAGTGATGGGCGTGACCAATTTCACATTTTTAAATTTCAGATATATTTCCCACATGTGCACACAGTCTGTACTTTTTTTTAGTAATTACAAAGGATATTCATATATACTACTCTTACATTTTCTATAAAATCCATAGGTCAGGCACTGACCCTTTTGTTCAAATGAGTAACAACCTTGATGAGGTAAAGGTTGGAATTATATAATTAGTGATGAGATAAGACTTGAATATGTATTTTACAACTTCAGATCCTCTTTCCAGCTCTATGCCTAGTCAAAGCTCTTTAAACTATCAACTTTCTGTGAATATTCTTTTCATATATTTGGTCAAAATTTTGTTGAGGTGCTGGGGTAGGTAAAAAACAGTGGTGTGGCCATCCAGATGTTCTGCCCAGCACAGAGTAGCAATCAATAGGAGACTGCCACAGCTGGACAGCCTTCCTTAGTTTAATCTTCTGTGAATTGCATAGCCCAGCATGAAATTTAAAGAAAACACTTTATTCCTCCACATTCAAGGAAGGCATTAAATGGAAAACATTAAGGCAGAAATTTCAAATTCATGAAAATTTTCTTTATGAAAATATAAAGATTAAAAAATATGCTCACATCTTTAGAAAGACTTTAATTTTCTAATTCTTCACTGTGTATTCTTTTGTTTGAGGCTTAGAAATTTAGGCAGCCACACTTTGCAGTATGTACCACAACATTTCCAAAACAAATAAGATTATGTTTTATTACATATGCTTTTGGATTCATTGTGTATTTAATTTTTAATTCATTTTTTATTGTTGTATATTGAGAAACTTTCAGCAAATTGCCAAAATTTTCATGACCCCTCCACATTTTTGTCTGTGTCAACCCACAGGGTGAGTTTTATAAAACAAATTAAAGCATTTTACCACTAAGAGGCAGTATTCACGTTTTACAGTAGCTCAGGTGTTTCTTAGCGTAAAGGTAAACAAATGTTAATCTGTTATGTCCTTGTGCAAAACTGGAGGATATTAAAAATGAATGAAAATACTGGTATTTCTTTAGGCACAGCATATTGTAGTTCAAATAGAATCACTCAGGAACTCCAACCACTTCAGTATTCTACAAAAGTGCCAGTATTTGTTTTTCTGTAAAAAGGTGTGTGTGTGTGTGTGTGTGTGTGTGTGTGTGTGTGTCTGTGTGTCTGTGTGTCTGTGTGTCTGTGTGTGTCTGTGTAGCAGGGGGAAACTCGGGGACATTTAAACTGTGTCACATGATGAACATGTAAATGCCCACTTCCTGAAAAGGTTTTGAAAGGACAGTGACAGATAAGCTACCATATTGTATCTCATAGTGGGATTTGAAATTGGTTTTCATTTGATTGTCCTAAATTTATATTAATAATGTATCCAATATCTTAACTTTTATGTAAACTTTTAGAAAATCCCACCAATATATGGAAGTCCAACATGTGAAAGAATCTTTACTCAGATATCAGCACACTGATGTGTATTTGCATGTTAAATGCAAAGCAGAAATACGTATGTGTCTAAGTGTGGCATTTGGCCTCTTTAAATAATGCAAATTCATAGACACAAACACTGGGTACATTGTAAATTAGAAATTTTTAGAATCTTAATTGCAGTAATGAATGGTGTGTGTGTTGGCAGATGTATCTATGGGAACCCTGGGCTAGGGTGTGTGCATTTACATTACAGACACTGTTTTTAAAGTTTACTTGTGATTTTAAGGCTGAGGCAGCTGCTGTTGGCCATGCATTATTCTGTGTGTCAGGCCATTGCTTAGTGAAGGAAAAAGAAACAGTATAACTTTTTCCCAAGTTATGTTTATTTTGAACACAATGATTGCATATCAATTGTGCTGAGAGACTTTTCATGCTTATATTTTCTTTGCAGAGAAAGAAAATTCTGATGTCACACTCCCTGTGTCTTGGTCCAAATATCTAGGGTGAAATATACCTCTTCTGTGTCTGAAGCCAACTTTGTTGGCTTATTCAATTTTAAAAAGTTTATAGTCTACAGTCTGCAGTTACTCTATTAAGCAATTAAGATTTCCAGCAAATTCTATAGCTCAAAATATCACATTCCTATCTACTCCCCATCTCCATGAGTACGTTTAATTATGAGAAACTTTTGTAGAAAATGAATTTTTGATGGTAATAATTACATGGCTTTATTTTTCTGTAGGTTTGTGTGTAATATTTGTTCATGCGCATGCGTTCATGTATGTATAGATGCACATGTATAGGAAGCCAGTGGTCAATGTGAGTGCCTTCCTCAGTTGCTCCCCACCTTTTGTGGTTGAGACAGGGTCTCTAACAAACCCAGAGTTTACTGATTCTGGCTGGCAAGCCTCCTGTGTCTGCCTCCCGCTGTTGGGATTACAAACACACTCCCCTGTGCCTGGCTTTGGCTTTACATGGGTGCAGAGGATCAAACTCATGCTTGCACAGCAAGTATTGGACTGGCCAAGCCTTTTCTCCGCCCCCCGCCCCGACAACTGAGTGTTAATAACCATAGCCCTTATTTCTGAAAACGTGTATCATACGTCGCACATTTTTTTATTTCACAATGCTTTGCTCTTCTGTTACCTTTTAAAATCGCATGCTTAAAGCTGTATTTCCTTATGCTCACATCATCTTCATTTCCATACTTGATATTCCATGGAGTCATAAGGTGATCATCGTAATCATTTTTTGTTTTTAAATTCACATATAGATTTGGTCGTAGAGCTTGTAGGACACACCCTGTGACAACTCCAAGTAATCTGCAAATTTACCTCGTCTCCAGACCCCCACTCCCCTCTGGTGTTCTATGTCATAACTGAAAGTGTCATCCACACAGTTCCCGTCTGAGGCCGTGAAGTGTTTCTGAGTACTTCCCTTTCCCTGCCTTCTCTTCCCACACAGCTGCCTCAGTGTATCACCCACTTATTCCCATGTCCCCGTCTCGAACGCCGCAGACATTCAGGTCATTGTATCTTACTTATGTCATTAGTCATTTCTTATCAAACCCCATCTTGCTGCCATTATTGGTTATTTACAGATGCAAATCTGCCTGCTTTACATTCCTCAACATCATTTTATGACTTTTCTACTACCACCAAAATTAAGACATTCTCCCTGGCGTTTGTAGGTGTTGGGATGATCTCACTCCTGCCTACCTTTTAATTTCCACCACTCCCCACTCTATACCACATGCTCAGCCATCCTGTTTCATTTCCTATTTCCAGTAAGCTGGGCCAAAACAGACAATCTGGATTATGTTCAAAATGACTAGAGATGGGCATAGTGGTGCACTCCTTTAATCCCAGCGTTAAGAGGCAGAGACAGGCAGATCTCTGAGTTCAAGACTAGCTGGGTCTAGAGAGCAAATTTCAGGACATCCAGGACTACACAGAGAAACAGTCTCAAAAAAAAAAAATATTCCTGACTAGACCTTGAACTTTGTTCAAGGTTACTGTCACTTAGGCTTCCAACTAAATCAGCAAGGAACAGAATCAAGACGTACATGTTGCAAGCATCTAAGTGAATGGATGTAATCCTCTGGTGTCGCTGTAGTTCTTCATGGAGATAGCTCATGCATGGAAGCAGAGTAGCTTTTGTTCCTGTAGACTTGTATGTGTGTGTGGGTGTGTGTGCGTGCATGCGTGCGTGTGTGTGCGTGTGAGAGAGAGAGAGAGAGAGAGAGAGAGAGAGAGAGAGAGAGAGAGAGAGAGAGAGAATTCCCAGGGGTTCTCACCATTATTTTCAAAGCCATGTTTTCGTTGTACCTATATTGCAACTGTAGACTTAACGGTTTTCAACCTCACTTGTCTCGAATAAATCTTAACCATCTTTTAAGGCTCAGATGCTCAGATAAGAGGTTATCTCTTGCAGAACATTTTCCTTGATGGTTTGCCTCATTATCTAGTCTAAACATACTTTTAAGATGTGTCAGACAAGGGTTTGGGTATTATTTTCTTGCAGTGTGGAGATCAAATACAGGGGCGTGCACCTGCTAGGCAAGTCCTTTTCCCTGAGCTCCTCCGCCCCTGGCTCTTCTGATCACCGTAGTCCCTAAATGTTCATGTGTGTATCAGCTTACTGCTGAATGAGTTCCATCAGAGCAAAGACCATGTCTACTTCATTTTCACATTTTTAGTACGTAGCAAGGATAATGCAATGCTGCAATCATCTAAAATCCATGGAAGGAAAAAGAGGAAGAAGAGAAAGGAATCCTTTAATGATATAAACAAAGGTCTAGAATCCTGTAGATAATGAATCATTTTAGAGTATATGTATTTTGTTAATTGTAATAAAAAGTGTCTATTCACTGTTTACTTGAATTTATTTAAATAATAATAACATATTAAAGTCACTTTAAAGAAATAATACATTATGAACCTGTTTTTAAGGCATTCAGCCATGTTTACTCACAACCTACCTTCCAAATTGAGT